TTGCATCTCAAGTAATATACACATGGAAGATATGTGTTATACTCTAAACTTTGCCAGTATGGGGACTGTGATTTTGCAAGTCACATCAACTAAATGAACATGAGAATCATCCTATTGTTGTTGTCCATCTCTAAATTATGGAACGTTGTATGCCACATCATCATATGGATTGTCAATTTTGTCATTGTCACATCATCATATGGATTGTCAATGTTTTCATCGTCAATCTTAATGAACCTAACAATTTCTAGCGATAAAGTATGGTGAGGGCATTAATTTTTGAGGTTATTTCTTTATTGACTTTTAAACACATTGGTTTATTCAAAGTCCAAGCTGGTGGTGTCTCCTCGGAGTAGTTTTGCTAGGTTTAGGAAAATATTATGCCTTGGTGTCCTAGAAAATGCAGATGTTAAAATATTATATATAAAGTTCTTATAGTAGATCTTTACAAGCTCGATGCAACCTTTAGTTGATAATAGTTGATTTGGGCTTTATAGAAAGCTATAGAAAGATAGGAGAAGGTGATCAACCAGTGTAAATTGAGTGGAGTATCTTGGTTCTTGATGTTAGGAGAGAAATTCGGGGCATGGGACATGAAAGAGACCTGAGGAGGAAAAGAGGGATTTATTTTAGATGCAATTCAAGATGATAATTGCATGTTTTTATATTTATTTTTATAAAAATTAGGATTACATGGATAAATGCAAATAAAATTGAAATTAAAACTGTATACTTCTTGAAAGAAAGGATATTTCTTAACAAGACTGCTTAATAAAATGATAATTTGATTATTATTTTGATGATAATCATGAAATAAAATTGAATAATGTATTTTGGGCATGGTAATTTATTGAGGGCCTTGCATAACATCACTTGATGTAGAGAAACTCATTATTTTATCAATTTTCTGGAAATTTGATTATTATCGCATTTGATGGTTGGTGACGACATACATGAGCAGTACTTTGAATGATAACACTTGACCCAAAATTCTTCTTAATAAACTTTCAAATTATATTTTTAAGGCACTATAATAACGCTATATGCAATCATATAAAATAATTTTCAATTGTACTGTGATTAGTTCGTGGTGCATGTACCAACTTCAGAAGCAAACACTTCACTCTCTCTCCCAGCACATTTTTTAAAAATTTAAATAAGACACCCGATTAAGAACATGTTTCTTAAATTCTATTTTTATTATAACACTGATAGTGTCATAAAATTGAGAACATTTGTGAGTGATGCAAAACATTTTATTCTTAGTGCTTTGAATGCAGCCATTGAAAAGAGAAACGAACAATCTAGCCAATATGCCATATTTAACCTTCATGATGTTAGCCATAATTGAAATAAGTCTAATATCTTTTCTATGTCCTTACCAAAGGTCTTCTTATTATTTTATGAAGTTAGGGTGAAGCTGAATACCAAAAAACATTTAGTGATAGGATGAAAAAGACGCAACCCTTTAAATTAATCAAATCGATCTTATTTATATTATGAATGTAGCCAAGAATAATTAGTATATTGTAAAGCATAATTGAAACAAATTGCCCTGTAGTAAAATTTTGAATCAAACTTTTTATTAGTAGAGTTCCAACACGTGGGAATGTTGATGCACAAACTTTTTGCTGGAGAAATCTTATTTTGAAATTTCACCAAATTTGTGGAACTAATTTGGAGGTATCTTTTTGAACAAAATTGATTGCCTATCCTTCTTAATAACTATGCTAATTTATTTTAAACAATTCCAGCAAATTTATAATATGAGCAACATAATAAACATAAAAAAGAACTTTTCATAATCTAGAAACCTTATCTCTCGATAAATAAGGCCTTCATATTTCTAGTTACTAGGTCATTCTTTGATACAGTATTTTGGTTGATTTAGCTAACTTTATTTAGTTTAGGAGATATCCAAAAAAATTGTTGAACTGTTATGTGGTGGATCTTCGTTATTAAAAATTATTGATCCTTTACTTAAATTTTCATGTAGAACATATATTATATAGTGAGACAACCAATCATTTAGTTCGAAGTCCGACAATTACAAGTGAGGGGAACTCTCTCAGCTAACTGTCGAAGAAGCAGTTGAAGAGGGAGAGGGAGTTAGGCGAGGAGGAGCAGAGTCGAACCAGAGAAGAGAACAGGAGGCGGTGGTCGAACGAGCGAGTAGAAGAATCGAGGGGGAGAGGGGTCTCGGCCGTGAGGGATAAGGAGGAGTCCGACGCTAAGGCTTTGATCGAGAGGAAGAGAGGGTTTCTGGACGAGCATGAAAGTCTTGAGCAGAAGAGGCGAATGAGGAGTATTCAGTCGAGAGTGGGATCTTGTATCCTGGGAATTCCAAAAGGATCGTTATGCTACGTTGGGTGAGGAATTAAATGGTTTTTATTCATGCAGTTGGCTCAATTGGAATATCTTAATTCCTAATTACATTCAATTAAGGCGAGATTGAATGGTTTATATGTGATTTTGAATTTGAAATTCAAAATCGTGTGAGATGAGGTGATTAGCCCGTGTTCAGCTTGTATCTAACCCGGGCTGGGTCTGAACCCGCTCCCCTAATTTATGTGCGCCGATTTTCGTTTTATTTGCTCACACGCGAAAACATATCAATAAAAGTGTTCTTTTAGGGTAAAATCAACGTTTCGGGCGTGCTCGCGCGATCCTTTTTGTCATTCGGGATCGTCTGGACAAGTTCGTCGACGGTCAGGTCAATTCAAGTCAACATCGTGCATGGTAAAGTGGGTGCGTAAATTGCGGCGTTCGTGATTCTTCGAGTCACTAAGGGTTTCCCTAGGGTTGCTTCTACTCATGTAAGAACTTGACTTGAGCTTTAATATGCTAGTTTTGATCTACTCAGCAAAATGCCAAGAATTCAGAACCGGTTATATGAGACTCGAAGGAGTAAAGAAGTTGCTCGAATTTTCTAAGCGGTGCGTGTCCCAGTATTAGTCCTCTAGGAGGGTCAAACAAGGAAAACCTAAGACGAGACCCTATTCATGTAGGAAAGAGATGTAAAAACCTAACAAATTCTTATTAGCAAAAGGGTTAGGGATTTCACAAATATTATTTATAAAAATAACTAAAATAAGTAATTATCTTCTTCACGCACAATAAATTATTGACGAGACAATGCTAGGAATTAAGTAAAAATATAAACTTTTTAAGTTAATTCATATAAATCTTTAATTGAGACGTCATCAATTAGAAAATAAATCGAAATAAAAATTGCCCTTAGTATTATTGCTTTACACTTGACTCAATATGTTCGAGTAAATTTTGATTATACCAAGTAATATTTCTATTTTGCAGTTTGTTAGAGAAGTATATTAGATTATAATTGGGCCTAAATAGACTTTTAATTGTAACCCACTAATGCCCATCAACAATCTGGATTTTGGGCTAGTCTAATTTCAAAATAGATTTGATGGGAATAAATAAACTGACACAGCAGAGAAGTATATTAGATTATAATTGGGCCTAAATAGGCTTTTAATTGTAACCCACTAATGCCCATCAACAATGTGGATTTTGGGCTAGTCTAATTTCAAAATGGATTTGATGGGAATAAACAAACTGACACAGTGTCTGAACAACACTGTGAATCTTTTAGAGTCATCAAGGATTAGGTTTATATCGAAAAGTATGATTTTAAGTAGGGTCATTGATTAAATTAAATGAACGATTATTACTCTTCACAATAACATCATTGGATGAAGAATCAATTGATTTTAAAAAAAATTAAAATTTGTTTGCAACTGGATCCAAACCAGTTCCTCCTCGCAGGTTGCTAAATACCATACCAGGTTGATGAGCTTTTTTTTTTTTAGCTAAAAGCAAAAGGAACTTTCAAAATTCACCTAGTTATTATTATATACATGATATTATTAATTTTTTAAAATAATATAACTTCATCCAATTTGATCCAGATCATGTGATTCCAAACGTTGCTCAAAATTTGATTGATGATAAACAAAATTCACTTGCCAACTCCAATTTTTTTTTTCTTTGTCAATTTTGATCAAATATCATTTTCTTTAGATGTATTTATCTTTGAGCCTAGTGGTGTAAACAAGTTGAGTTGAGCTCGAGCTGCCCTCGGCTTGAGCTTCAGCTTGATTAATTTTATCGAGCTCGAGCTCGGGCTTAAGTTTATGAGTTCGAGCCGGCTTGCAAGCCAACTTGTTTAATATAAAAGAGAGAAAATGATATTACTTTAAGCTAACTTTATAATTAGTTGATAAATAGAATGAGTAATTAGACGATAAATAATATGAAATCACTTAATACACCATAAAAATATTTTTTTTAACATTTTTCATACCTTAAAGATAATGTTTTGAAATTTAATATATTTTGCTTATATTTTATGTTAATATTTTAATAAACAAGGTCAAGATGGGGCTGGCTTTAGGTTGGCTTGTTAACTCATCGAGCTTAGTTCATGAGCCACTTATCCAGTCGAGCTCGAGCTAGCGCACGAGTTGGCTTGACTCGCTTGCACCCCTATTTGAGCCTAACTCCTCATCCTTCTTGTTAATGTTTGCAGAACACCATGGCTTAATATATAAAATGCTATAATGGCTCAGGAGTTAAATATGGAGTGTATGTACCATAGAAAAATAGGCTATATACATTAGCTGTGCCTTTGTTTCTTTTGATGAACGCAAGCATATTATAAAAGGGATTTATTCATACACACCACACAATTTTTTTTATTTTATCTAACACCAAAAGTTTGATATATACATTTAGAACACTTCTAGGCTTGAGAAGGTATATTTCATTTTTAAAACTTAGGAATAATGTTATTTTTTATGTGATGTAAAGATTTGAGCATGTGAATATGAAATTTTAGGTGTTAGATATGGAAATCTATAAAAATTTTGTGGTATGTTTGTAAATGCCCTTGAATAGAATTAAGTGCTCTTAATCACCTCACTCTTCAGTGAGTGCTCTCTGTTCTCACCAAAAGTTCAATATTCTCATTCACATAGGCAATTCTCGCCTCATCTTCGTGGGACAAAACTGTTCGACTTTGGGACGTATTTGAAGGAAAGGGAGCAGTCGAGACTTTTCAACATAATCACGACGTTCTCACAGTTGTTTTTCGTCCAGATGGAAAGCAAGTTGCTTGTAGCACACTGGATGGTCAAATAATTTTCTGGGATTCTTTAGATGGAATACTCATGTACACAATTGAAGGTAAAAGGGACATTGCTGGTGGACGTCTTATGACAGATAGGAGATCTGCTGCCAATTCAACTTCAGGAAAATATTTCACTACATTATGCTATTCTGCTGATGGAAGCTATATTTTAGCAGGTGGAAGCAGCAAGTATATTTGCATGTATGATGTTGCAGAACAGGTCAGAACTCCGCACATTCCTATATTTCAATTATCTCTTTATTATCTCCATTAAAAAAAAATAGGGAAATTTACATGTAAACCACACGATTCTTATGTATTTAGATATCTGACACCTAAAATTTTATATTTACATTTATATCTCACTGTTATTATAAACCTATGCATGAAAAGTTGTATTTCACTTTTAAAAAGTTAGTAATAGTGGTATTTTGAATCTGATGTTAAAGATTCAATTGGTATGTATGTAAATATCAAAGTTTAGATGTTTAATATGTAAATATATAAGAATTTTCTGGTTTGTGTGTTAATGCTCCTAAAAAATACTCTAAGATTTCTTATAATACTTCTAGCAACATCATTGAAAATACAATAGTTCTTCGTTGGAATTAATGGTAGGTTTTGTTAAGGAGGTTTCAAATAACTCACAATCTCTCTTTGGACGGAGTTCTAGACTTTTTGAATTCTAAAAGGATGACAGATGCTGGCCCGTTGGATTTAATTGATGATGAAAATAGTGATGTGGATGTGGGCATTGATAAACAAAGGCGAGAAAATTTAGGCCAAGGCTTGCCTGGATCAGTTACTAACCTTGGGCGTCCTATCATTCGAACAAAATGTTTGAAAATTTCTCCAACTGGAAGGAGTTGGGCTGCTGCTACTACCGAGGGTGTGCTGATTTACTCTATTGATGAATCATTCATTTTTTATCCAACAGATCTTGATATTGACGTAACTCCTGAGGTATGAAATATTAGTTTCATTTATTTGTAAAACATTTAATGAGTTCAAGGACTAAATTGACACTTTTATATAGTATGAGACTAAAATTACCCCTCTGCAAAGTGTCAATGGACCAAAGTGCTATGTATGTAAATATGAAATTTTATATGCGAGATATGTAAATACATGACAATTGTATGCTAGGAATGTTAAATTACCGTTATGATTTATCGGCATAAACTTGCTTATTGTTGATCCCAGTGCATGCATGCCTAACAAAACCTGAAGTATTGAGGCTATTTTTTGCAGGCTGTAGATTCCGCTCTTTCAGAGGCTCTGCATCAGAGGGCATTGTTGATTAGTCTTCGTTTAAATGAAGGCTCCCTAATTAAGAAATGCATATTTTTCGTGAAGACAGCCGATATACCGGCCATTGCTTCATCCATACCTGTCAAATACTTGCAGAGACTAATGGAAGTATTTTCTGATCTTCTAGAAAACTGCCCCCATATGGAATTTATTCTTCAGTGGTGCCAGGTACGTTTTTATGCTGTTGGGGCATTTACATATATAAAACACAATTCTTGTGTGCTAAGTATGTAAATTTCCCCATGTTTCTCGGCACCTAAGAAATTGATAGCTTATTCTCAACTTGTTTTCCTCATTTTTATCTGTGTCATTTTCTGCAGGAGCTCTTCAAGATTCATGGAAGTTTCATTCGGCAAAATTTCAGAAGCTTGCTTCCTGCTCTAAGATCATTACAGAAATCAATCACAAAATTGCATCAGGATATGATGGATGTTTGTTCCTCCAATGAATACTTGCTTCAATATCTATGTTCCACTGGCAGCAAAATCAATTAGCTCTCTCATGTGCTTAATGCGTTCTGTAAGTTGGTATTTGTAAAGTTTTTTTTTTAATTATTTTTTCAAATGTATAGTTTACAGTTGTTTACTTCCTGGTAGAATATCTCCACTGATGTGAAAGTTTTGTGCTTTCAATTTCCTATACAATCTTTTGCGTAGTGAAATTTTTGCATATATATTTGTTGGCAGGCTAGTAAAGGAACTTGGCACATAAACACCAAAGTTTTGCTTAAATCGGCTGTTGTCTTTATAACTTACTCCATGGTGCATAGTTCTGAGAATTGCATCCAGAGTTCTCTTTGGCAGCTATAATGTTCTGATTTGGTACGTTAACTAATTTTTGCAGCATCATTAGCCTTGATTTTTTTTATAAACAAATTGCTAGTGGAAAACTCATGTTCTTATTGCTTGCTATTATTATTCTCTGGCTATAATGTTCTGATTTGGTACGTTAACTAATTTTAGCAGCATCAATAGCCCTGATTTTTTTATAAACAAATTGTTAGTGAAGACTCATGTTCTTATTGCTTGCTATTATTATTCTCTTTTCCCTCCGAGATAGATTTAAAATCGCTGATTATGTCAAACAGAGTATATTGGAAAAGTGTTTTGCTTAGATTGAGTGCTTTTAGGATCTAGGACTGAATTTTATACACCATCTTCTTGATGATAAAAGCTGAATATTTACATTAGACTTCCTTGGTATAATGTTCAATATTGCATTGATACAGCTTGTGAATTTTTATTTTGTCTCTGTTTGTGTTAGGTTTCCTTTTTTTTTGTTGGTTGCTTTGCATGTGTTGTATGGTTCTCTCGTATGTATATGAAGCAATGTGGGTCCCTGTATGCTTGCTTTTAAGCAGTTTAGTTTATTCCCACATTGCTGAAGCATAGCAGTGCTTCAATGAAATATAGACATCTAAGCTCAAGGGCTGCTGTGAAAAAGAACCCAACTTGGGCAGCGTTTAGCTACAATTTTGATTTACATTAAATTGGATTTATCAAATCCGATAAATCCAGATCTATCAAATTTTCACTGTGATGGTTCTACTCGCGAACAACAACAGAATAAATTAGTCTCACAATCGGATTTACTAAATCTTGATTTACTTGACGGAACATGAGAAAATTAGATTTAACAAAGCCTTGGATTTAATTTTATTTTTTTAATGTTTGGTTGGATTCAAGTTAAATCCACGACTAAATCCAATTAACAGGATCCTACCAAACACCACCTTAAATAATGGGAGCCAAAGAAGATCAACACAAAATTGCAATTTTACTCGTGTTCACTAAATTGCTGCCTATGTCCAGTTACTGCGCTGCAAATTTTGTTACGATTTTGATTATGGAGACTTGGAAGTTCAATTTCCTAGATACAACCTAAAGATGGCTCCTTTTTTTTTTCTAAGATGATAAATGAGAGTTGAAAATACATCAAAATTCTCTAGTAAAGAAATAACCTGCAAAGGTCAACTCATCACTAAGTCTAAATAACGGCATGCTCTTCAAGCTAGCATCCAATGATTAGGATTTTGATATAAAGCATCGTTCTCTTAAAATTGTTGTGGTTATGTTCTTTACACTTCATCCTTCATGACAGCTACTGTAAGAGCTCCAATTCTAAAAGCCAAAAATGTTCTGATGGTTTTTCACTGAATTACTTGCTGGACAATGATTTTCGGCAATCTTTTGATAATGAATTCTCCTTTTTGCAGGAAAACTCTTCGGAGAACCGAATTCTAAATTTGTTATTTAAAGACTTTATGATGTAAATTTTTGAATGATGAGCGACATCACAGCCATTCAATTCCATACAGTTCATTTCACAATTTTGAATCATTTGTAATGTAGATTGCAGACTGTAACAACAGCAAATGTTAGTTTTAAAAAAACACCAAAATTGTACCATCCTTAGCATTAGATTTAGAGGATCTCGCATATAGTTGTTCAAGATTACTCTATTTTATAGTCTAACTTTAAATTTTTTTTTCTTTTGGAAGATTTACATAAATACCTCAATTCCCATGTATTTACATTTCTAACACCTGAATTTCAATTTTTACACATATTCCACCTTAATTATGCTTGTTAAATGTTCAAATAGATATTTTTTATATCACATGAAAGATTTAGGTGGTATAAATGTAAATGCAAAAAAATAAAGCTTAGGTATTAGATATCTAAAGAAATAGTAGAGTTCTGTTAACGTTTATGAGCGATTTTAGTTTAGAACAAAAACATGTCCTTTGAACTTTATTACTCACATTGAAGGCTGATCAAAACTTCTGAGATCTGCTGTGGTGCTCAGCTTCTGAGTTGGCTGATATGCATTTACTGGCTTGTATTAAGATTACAAGTAATGCCTATTTGGATTTATTTATTTATCTATTGTTTTTATTTTTTTTTAAAACTAAACAGATAAGAATACCATAAGAACAATTAGTTTCAATTGTATTGTTTGAAAGAATTGCTATTTAATGGCGTAAAAATGATTTTTTTACAAGGAGTTAGTTCTATATCATGAACATTCTCTTATTAAAAAGTTGATAATATATATATATTTTTAGTAATTGTTATATTTTATTAAATTTGATCATAAAATTTATTTTTTAATTATATAAATATTATAAAATAATCATAAAGTATCAAATAAAGAAAATTAAGGGTTTATTTAGGTCAATTTTAGGGTCTGTTTGGAGGTAGTTGTAGTTTATTGTCCAAATAAGTTGAGAGCATTACAAAAAATAAGATGCATGCCTCAATAGTGTATATAAGAATTGATAAAAAAAGAAAAAAAAATAATTAAAATTATAATTAAAAGTATGATAATATTAATTTTAAAATTTAGACGTATGTCACGAGCTACATCATCTTTCAGGGATACTATCCAATCCATCAATCTAGATCACTATCGGCAGTGAAATCTGTTGAATTGTCTGTCAGCCGGAAGATGTCTCATTTCTCTGTGATGCCCTGATGACACCTGTAGAATTCTCTCCCGCAGCAATGTGCCCATCATGACATCAGTAGGGCAAATTGTAGTTCGCAGTGACAGAGCACTCATCTGGAGGTCCCTGGAATCCTGAAGCTCACCTTCCTTGAAAGATTTAAGAGAGAACCCATCATTCATGATAGAAGATGAAATTCATCAAAAATATACAAGAAAATGGAGATAAACGAAAACAATATTGAATAAACAAAACATAAATTGATGAAAAAAATAATGAATTACAATATTGTGCAGGATTGAGGTTTCAGAGAACTCGCTACACTAATAAAAAATTTATCACTATAAGAAGACAGTAGACTTTGTAAAAAAATGAGTTCTTGGTTAGCTTTAACTCACATAAAACCAACCTCCTGTGTGTCACATCGGCATATCACCAAAAAATGTCATCTAGAAGGTCCTCATAAACCGTTGCATCGAAGAGAAGAAAGGAACTCGGTTGCCTTCATCAGTATTTCACATGTGAAACTAATTAACAACGACCAACTGGCCATCCGGAAGAGCCCATAAGGTTAAATGTCTCATCATAGACCTCACAAACTCTTTTGGGCCAAAAATCTTTTGTGAAAATATTCAGAATGCCCACAACCACAACCACAATGAACCACAACTACTTGCCATATTTCATTCAAAACAATTACATACATGTGACCACCACCACCGCCACCACACTAACAAGTCATTGACCAAAGGAAAATATATTGAGATTTTCATACATATTTTACACTGTTTTTGATGATATTGCACTTAAAAGAAATATATTTTTGATGTTTTGTTGCATGAATGATGAATTAGGGTCATTGACG